TAAAATTTTTAAAATGTTAAATTATTTTTTTTTTACTTAAAAACAAAAATCAAATAGGATGAGAGGGAAACAACATCCCAGCAGAGAAACGGTGCTACTCGATAAAAAAATGTTCTCCCCACCCGGGAATCGAACTCGAATCTCCTGCGCGCGACAGCGAAGATCGTACATAACAAGATACATGTATTTCACTCCTCTATTTGAGCCAATTAGAAAAGCGTCCTCAAAATCCGGTGGTGCCCTCTTTGAAAAAGCGCGGACTTTGCGAACAGAGTTACCCTACTTGTGTGGAAAAAATCAAAGTTAAACTAACAAGGTTTTAAAAATTAATTAGGATTCAAATTTCGGAAGAACGCTTTTTAAAAATGGTTACACTGAAACTCTTACCGTGGAAGAGGCGACTGTTTTCTTCGTTTAATTTGACTTCAGAATGAGAGGCGAGAGGTCATTAAAATAATTTTTTTTAAAACTCTTAAACTCTGCCCTGAACGAACCCGGACAGCTGATGAACAGCAGTCGATCTGCGCACGCAAGGGGGTGGTGTTCCTTTTCTTCTTCTGGAAAAACGAAAGAGAGCTTCAAAACAGACTGCAGCGCCATCTGAAGCAATGAGCGGACTTCCGCGGACACTTTTTTGGCTGAGTAAACCATCTTGTTATGTACTATCTTTGGCTGGGTGAACCATCTTGTTAAGTACTATCTTTGGCTGAGTGAACCATCTTGTTATGTACTATCTTTGGCTGAGTGAACCATCTTGTTAAGTACTATCTTTGGCTGAGTGAACTATCTTGTTATGTACTATCTTTGGCCGAGTGAACCATCTTGTTATGTACTATCTTTGGTGACAGCGAAGAGCTTAACCACGATTTCGTAGACGTCTGTCGTTTAAATAAACAATAAAACAAATATCGGTGCACTCATTATACAAGGAAAATGCAATGGAAAAAGACCACACCAGAAGGGTGATCCTAATTCTTTAAGTCTTGTGACTACTGTCCGTTATCTATCTCTCACGCCCCCTTCCCTCCTCCCCTCTCCTCCCTCCCCGTCTCCCCCTCCCTCCTCCCCTCTCCTCCCTCCCCGTCTCTCTCCCCTACCTCCTCTCTCCCTTCCCCGTCATACAATAATTAATGTACATAACATGAACGTGAAAGATGGAGGGCCATAACACGTAAACCTCTGAGTCAGAGATGACACCTCCAGGTATCCAGGTATCCAGGTATCCAGGTATCCAGGTATATTATAATATGATTTTATGAACCGATCATATCTTGCATAATATCACGACTTAATGAATGACTATGACTGCACTGATCAATAATATTATAGAGGCAACAATTTCTTGGATATTATGTAATTGCACTAACCAGTTTTCAAAAACGGTATACGGTGAACAGATTTGTTTCTCTTGCCTTGCCCAATCCTGTCAAGACCCAAAGGGGGGATATTAACATGTTCTTATTTGATAGTAGAATTGTAAATACGCTGATTTATCTATATCATGCTCATACTGTGCCGGAACAGCATAGAGGGAACTGCTGTTTTTTCTTTCCTCATCCTTACTATCGTCATTTTTCCTCTACTTCTTTTTTGTGTTTGTCACTCTCTTCTGAACTGCTATTTCCGGGGTGCCTTGATAGTCGAAGCAGACTTTGTGCTGTTGAGGCCAGAGAGGTGAGCAGAGTAAGTCTGATTCCCCGTTTGGACTTCTCTGTTGACATCCACCCCTTGGCGCTCATATGATTTTATGCAGTTGCGAGCGCCGTAAAACCTTACTAAAACAAAACCAAACCCTGTCAGAATGTCGCCATGTCTGAGTAGTTTAAACATTGTGCACACGATGATTGTGTTAGCTATCGTCAACACAAGCTTAGGGTCAGGAGGTAAGTTTTGTAGATGGCAGTAAAACCTCTACTAAAACTAAAACATTAAAACAAAAACGCCCCTCTGTGTCACGTGGTATCTTGTTTTCCCAGGTCAACAGGGCCGCCAGAGAACCTCCAGCCTGTCCAAGTCGGAGCGACTGACCCGCCACTTGAGCAAGGACTACACCTCCTCGTCCGCCGTGTCGCTCATGAAGGGCAAAGGTCAGACGGAGGCCCTGGTGGAGCGCGCCAGCACAGGTCAGAGTTCACGTCTCGGTGGGTGGTTGGCGGGTGGGTGCTCTGGTGTGGTTTGTTTGAACTTCTTTCCTATCAAACATCTATCGTCTCTATCTCCCCTCCTTCTTTTTTGTGTTTGTTACTCTCTTGTAACACCTGTAATCTTCGGTACTTATATGATCTTACTGTGTCGCAAGTGCCGTAAAACTCTTACTAAAACTAAAAAGACATGGATTGCGTTGATTATAAAACTGATATGCCCCAAAGGAGAGACATCGTCTATACATTTGGAGACAAGAGAGGTGTAAAGATGTGACTTCCTGTTTTGCAGGAGTTATAAACTAGAGATATTTTAATTTTTTCGTGGTAAGAAATTTTGAATTTTTCCCGAGTACCGGCCTAACGGCCTACTGTTCTACGACTTTCATTCACCAAGGGATCTTTAACGTGCGCAACTACACGCGCACACGGGACCTCCGAGATTCTGTCGTTCGTCCTTTTCCGAGAAGACTAGGCGCTCAGTTGCGTGTCCCGTCACGTCTGAGCACAAAGTCCGTTCTCTGAGTCCCGTCCTTTTCGTCTGCAGATGTCGTGGACTCTCCAACAACGCCCGTGCCGGAGGCAGACGATCGCGAGGCGGGACTCGAACCTCCGGACAATGCCACACCACGCCGGGCGCACGTTGGTAGGGACAGGGAGAAGAGGGAGAGGAATGGGAAGACTGCAGTGAGAGCAGCACAATGGGACGACGACGTTGCACCGACGTTGACGAACAAAGGCGACGTGAAACAGTCGGAGATTTGTTGTCGTGGCACACCGAAGAAGCCGACGTTGTCTGAATGTGTGAGTGCGACGCACCCACAAGAGTCACCAGACGACCTGAGCTATGCTACAAAGTCTGGGTCAACCGGTGGGAAGGAAGGGTTTGAACCCAGGGTTAGGGGCAGACCTCCTCGCCATGACCACGCCCCACGTCACCACAACTCCTCCCCCCGTCGCAAGGACCCCTCTCCCCGTCACAAAGACCCCTCTCCTCGACGCAAGGACCACGCCCCCCGTCACCACAACTCCTCCCCTCGTCGCAAAGACCCCTCCCCCCGTCACAACGACTCCTCCTCACGTCGCAAGGACCACTCCCCTCGCCACCACGACCCCGCCCACCGTCACAACGACTCCTCCCCCCGCCCCGCGGCGTCCAACCTGGATTTCCCGAACAAAGACCGACGACGCGTCTCCCGCGAAGACAGCAGACAACGCACAGGCCGGGCAGCCTCCTTCGACTGTCTGGCGGGCCCGGCCTCCGAACTGACCGGCACGGCCGGGTGTGACGTAGACCGCAGAAGGACGGAAGACCACAGAGGCCAGGGAGCACGACGCAAGAACGACAACTGCGACTGTCTTGACCAGGACACCGTGGACCACCCATCGACCTCAACAAGACCGGAGGCTAAACAGTCGACAAAAGGCAGAGCAGACTTTGAGTTTTTACACTCTACAGAAGGGGAAGGGATTTGGGGCGAGGAAAAAAGACAACGCAAAAACGAGAATCAGGTGGATAGAATCTCCGACAACGCCGCCTCAAGACAACAAGACAGCTACCCAGACTCCGCGAAGCTGCAGGAAAATTTCGCTTCGCGGAGCAGTCTTGAACATCCGGGGCCGTGGCTCAAACCGAGCCACGCTCAGGGAAACCGCGACTCGCCCGGGGGCCGCGGGGACTTTCTGGGCGATGGGAAGACGTTTGCAGAGGAGGAGGCGGACGAATATCTCAGCTGGATGGAGGAGAAAGTGGAGCAGGAGGAGGACTACTGTGCGGCCACCATGGACTGCCATTTTCTCCTCCTCCTCCCTCCCGACCGTCCTCCGCTGACGTTGGGTGAGGAGAGCCGAGGGAGAGGTTTAGGGAGAGGCTGTGGTGAGATTTCTCAGAATGTTGTGGACGATGTCAAAGCCAAAGATCCTCCGAGCGTGTTTCAGGAGGGTAGTGTCGAGTGGGCGACGTCGGGTGGTGGTTCTTCTCCCGTGACGGAGGGTGGTTTCGTGTCGGTGACGTGTCGTGGTGAGGGGAGGATATTCTGTGCGGACGACGCGGAGAACGACCTGGAGGTGTCACGGCGCAGGCTCGTGGCTAAGGCTTTAGAGGAGCGGTGGGGCGCCACTAGTACTACGTCATCGCACACGTCATTGCAGACGTCATTGCACACGTCATCGCAGACGTCATCGCGTCACTCGCTCCGTGGTGGGGAGAGGGGCGGGGTGGAGGGGTGTTGTCCCACTTCTGTGATTGGCCAGAGGCGTCTCGGGGGAGGGACAGGAGAGAGGGGCGGGGTGGAGAGATCTTGCTCTACCTCTCTGAATGGCCAGAGGTGTCTCAAGGGAGGGGCAGGAGAGAGGAGCGGGGTCGAGAGATCTTGTTCTACGTCTCTGATTGGCCAGAGGTGCATAGAAGGAGGAGCCGAAGCAACGACGAGCAGCGGTCTGAAAATATACACCGAATGTCCAGCATATGATACCCCTACCTTCTCCAACACGGCTTTGCTGGGCCAGAGAGTGTTCGTGGACCACAGAGCAAAGGCTCGGGAGATGGAGAGAAAGTGGGTGAGGATGAGCAAGATTGGAGGACGGAGAGATGAACAGACAGGGCTCACATCCGGCTGAAGTGAGAAGACATAGACCAAGACGGACGATATATATTTTTTTTTTTTTTTTTTTACAAATCGTCGTTTGCTATTTCCTAGCCAGATATTTTGAGAACTCAATAAAAAATGTTTTATCAATAAAATCAAGTTGGAAATGCTTTTGTTATAGATCTTTTTATGTTTATGATGTCAAGCTCTGTCAGCCACTACACATA